TGACCTGAATCCAATTGCTGCAGTCCCCAAGCTTTAGAAATGGCTTTATAACCTTTTCCGGACTGATAGAGCTCCATTATTCTCTTTCTCATTTGTTTTTGAATTTCTTTGGATCTCGGCATGATGTCTAGCTTTTGAGGATCTTTTGGTCTACTTCACTTTGTCAGGCAGGTCCTATTTAAGTGATTTCTTGATTGCGAACAGGTGTGGCAAGAGAAATTGAACTCAGGTGCGATAAACCAGTGTTTTGACAGGGGGGCAAACACTTGTTCACACAGGGCTCTATAGTTTTGGATTTTGTTTTCCCTTAATAATAAAAACCTTCATTTAAAAACTGCATGATGTGTTTACTTGTGTTATCTTTGACTAATATATAAATTTGTTTGACGATCTGAAACATTACAGTGTGACAAACATGCAAAAAGATAAGAAATCAGTAAGGGGGCAAACACTTTTTCACACCACTGTATATACTGTGGTTCTGTTCTTGTAGAGAGACTCTGTGTCTAAATCCAATTTTAGTTCTAAAATATTTTCATTTATATTTTTATATACACTGACTGGCCACATTATTAGGCACACCTGCACGATTGTATGCACTTCAATGCAACACTTCCACCTTATCATCTGTGTTTATGAAGCTCAAAATGTTTCAGTTTTTGGTGAAATTGCCATAAACGTATAAATGTAGACATCCTAACTGTCTTTCATAGTAATAACATGTTGCTGCAATAGACTGAAGCCCTCAACAAAGGTATCCATGGCAACACTTAGCGTTAAGCGCACTTCAGAGGTTCCACATCAGCATCCTTCCAACAGCAGGTGCTTCTCCAGTTTTGTGCTATTTCATACCTGCTCCTGATCTGGCCAGTCAGGTCTCCGACAGACTGAGAGATGTGAACTAAAACACTAATACATAGATTTTCACAGTGATCTCTAGATTCGACATTGCACAATAGAAGTACTGTACACAAAAATATCAGCAGCAGCTTCTGCAGAACAGTCACAAACATAAATGTTGTGGTGCACTGGCTGAAATGACTGATGGTGCTGTTCTTCTTGAGAATGGAGTCTTCAGTTTAAGGATGCACAACTGAAAAAATCTGGGAAACTCTATAGTGTCAGATACACAGTTCTAATTTTATTCCTATTGTTTCACAATAATATACTTCTAATAGCATCTCGGATATAGAGCTGCAAAAAATTATCCAATCATACAGTATCAAAACAGAATAAAAGGTCTGATCAGCCAGTGAGCATCTACAAGATAACTGCCTCTGTACTGCTGTAAAAGGAATCTCGGCGTAAAGAGAAACCTGAGAGTTGAGACACTGAAATCAATGCTCCTCTGAAAGAGGGGAGAAAAGACAGGAACAACAGAAGACAAAAAAGAGTTGTAAGTGAGAACAGAGAGAGACAGGAACAACAGAAGACAGAAAAGAGTTGTAAGTGAGAACAGAGAGATGAGGACAATGAAAACAAGCAGCCTGTCCTGTCGGGTGTCCATGGTGAGCATCACAGCAGCTTGTAAGCTCGTGCTGTACTGCGTCCTCTGCTCCTGCACACTCACTTCCCTCTCATGTCTTATTCTTGTCTTCGTATGTCACCTCCTGTTTGTTTCGCGTTTGCAGTGAGGTGTGTCTGATTTGCTCCACTGTGTGTGTGTGTTTTACTGCCATCATGGCTGCAGTGGAAATCCAGGCAGGCAGGTCAACAGGCAGATGGCCAAGCCGATGAAGAATCAGGGGGTGGGGCCTGGATTAACACGAGTATCTAATTGCATTTGAAAAACCAGAGAAAGCACATGAGGACAAATTAAAAATGGCATCCAAATGATGGTTCAGTTACATAGCAGCACCGGCACAGTAAATTTCCTTTGAAGGTCATCAGAGTAATGAGGACTCAGAGTGCAAAGAAAAGTATTTCTTTGTGTATCAGATCAATTCAGGCCTTCTGCAAGGAGAACCAGTTAAAATGTGGAGAAAAAGAAAGGTTTAAATAGGACTGGGGCTGCCCCCCATGACAGATTTACCAATGAGCATGGCTTATTATTATGCAAATGTTAAATACTAGATAAGAAAGAAGATGGACACTTCAACCAACAGACTGACCGCAGGTGCTGATAGTAAAGCAAAACAAAGCAGAAGCACTGCTGCATATGTGTTATGACGGCACAGTATTTGTCTCATGCTTTAGTTATGGCACTGTAATATTAAAACGCGCATCCTGCTTCTCTGTCTTGTATGTTTTGTCTTCCATCTCTTAGGACTCCAGCTCTCCTGGGTGTCATAGATACACAGATAATTTTCACTGGGCTGAATTATTAAGTCTCTATATGCAGCTAACTGTACCTTCAGCCTGGTTCATTTGCATGTTTGAAAAAGGAATGTGATTAAACAATGAGTTCCTGTGGCTGGGGTGCTGCTGAGGATTTCAGTTTGTACTACAAAATAACATTCTGTGCAACAGCTTCTTTTTTCTTTGCAATTTCAACCAAAAAACACCACATGGATGTTGTAGAGAGGTATTCAAGGTGGATGTTGGACATATGGAGTGCAGAAGAGCACTGCTGATCGGGAGGTTTGCATCCTGAGCCCCACCTGTGTTTAGGTTTAGACATCAGATACTTTGGCTGAGGATAGGAAAAGATCATGTTTTGATTAACGTATCATATCTCCTGCATTAATTCACGACTGATTTTTTTATTTTTATTTATGACAATCTTCCCTACCTCGACTAAATGAGCAGCGTACCTAAACACAAATATACCAATGTGAATCTTGTTGCTGCATATAAATATGGATTTGTAAGAGTGGATATTATAGGAAAACAAATTAATACTGTTGTCAGTGAACATTTTGCAACTCACCAACATTTTCTAATATCAGTTTTTAAAAAAACCTCCAGGTAGCATTACACTTCTGTCATAAACATGACCTATGGGACACAGGGAAGGGAAGGGTTGGTTGTATTTTTCAGCACCTTTCAAGCTTTTTTCAGTTAGTCTGTATCAACATAAATACTTTGGTGGAAAACAGTTTGATAAAGATTATGTATTAGTTTGTGCGTATTATGAGTGCAAATGTCTGTGCTCAGTTCTGACAAGTGCACCGAGCACTGTCCCACAGTGAAGACAAGAACTTCAGTGTCTGTCTCTTAAACTGTTTATTTCATAGCACTGTGTTAGAAACAGACATTTTTACATCAGGTTGTCAATGTGGAAATGTGCCTGTATCCTACCTGTCATGTATAATGCCCCCTCTCCCATGTGCCACTAGGTTCATTGTGTGGAGTAAAGCTGAACATTATGAATGGTTATTTCCTGCTGTGCTTAAGCTGCTGAGTCAGCATGTCCATGAAGCTATGGAAATGGTGCTGTGGTCTCCCTCCGCCTCCTGCAGCAGAGCAGCCTGAGCTGAGCAGTGAGGCTGGGGGTGGGGGAGGATTGTGGGACTCTCCTTCTGAGGAATGAGTCTTCTCACTCACTTTCCCCAGAGCAACTGAGCTTAAATAATGACACAACATGGGCAAAACTAAACTCCAAATACTGTGAAAAGACAGAGTGATAAAGAGAAAAATTAGGCAAAAAAAAGATGGCTGCCGGTTCCTGTGGATGAAGCTGAGCCCTGCACAGCAGTTATCACATTATTTACAGTCGAGGGATTAATGCACTGTTCAGTAATGAGGAGCCAGCCAGTTGCCCGTGATCTGAAGCTTGATATCCACCTGCTGGGCTGAACTCCTAGTGGAAGAAAGCTGGAGGAGAACTTCAAACTGAGTAGCTTTAAAAATGTGGTTTGTGTACCCTCTAGTGTTGTGGTTAGGGATATACTTCTATACTAAAATGTTATCTAACACATTGAATGGTGGATCTGGGTGGCTTGATAGCTTCATCTATGTATTTCTAATAGTTTAAAGCTCATTACTGTTCAGTATGCACTTTCTATATTTAGTGTTTGAGAATCTGGTCTTTTTGTACTATGGTGCTGCTGAAACCCACAGTGGCTGCTTAAGGATGGTGTTGCTGTGGTTGTGAAGGATCTGGTTTCTGTTTAAGATGGAGTATGTCGGTGCACTGTACATGGTTCATTTTCAGACTTGGAGATGCTTCATCGTGACACTAGATGTCGGCACTAGATCACAGAACCATTAAAATGTCAGCCAGTGCTCAGGCTGAGGGAAATCAAAGAATGCATATGCTTGCTTTTACAGTGTCGAGCTGCTCTTCCTCCCTTACTGCCTGTGAAGCGTGAAGCTGTAACATGCTGTGACGTGCACTAACAAGCTCAGCCGTTTCTGGGCTGTGACCCTGTACAGTCCCATCCACGACCTCCTCACTAATGCTTACAGTGAAAAGGGTGAAAAGGTAAACAAAGCATCTGATCTGACCACACATGCAGCCTCTCCTTTTCAAATGAAAACTTTGTCTGAGTCCCAGTTTAAATAGCCACAGTCCTATTTGTTTGATTAAAAACCACAGTGACCAGCTGATTAATTAGGAATAAATGTGTGTGTGAGTTGGCCTGACAGCCACAGACAGGGTGGAAGTCAGGAAACACTGACGGATGATGATCAGTGATGATGGTCTCTTCATGAGATGGGTTGGTAATAATTAACCCTGACCTTACTAGAAGTAGAAAGGCCCATTTTAAACTCAGCATAGGCAACAAACCGCAGGATAAGGGCTACTTTTATCATGTTTCCTCAGTCTTACAGCCTTAACCAGAGCGAACACACACACACACACACACAATCTATAGAACAACACACTGCTGCATCTGTTAAACAACCAGTGCAGGAGAGCAAATTAGCCCATGCACAGACATATAGCAGGCGTATTATGAGTCCACAGTGTAGAACCGTCCATATGTGACTTAATTTTTATTGATTCTTCTTAACAATCTTCAAACTGTGTTTTCACAATTTAATATATTTCTACATTTTAAGTTGATTAATTAACCACATTTTAAAATTGAAACTAATTTATATTTGTAGTCTGATTTAGTTGAAACCACTAGAATAGAAGATAGAACCTTATACCTCTAAATTCTGGGTAGATGCTTTTTCAACAGTCACATAACAAGCTTCCATCTTCAGTTTCACAAATATTACATAGAATTTAAATTTGTTTTTGTGTGGCTACATTAGGTAAGTACTTTATTGATCCCACAATGGGGAAATTCCTGTGTTCCAGCAGCTAAGAGAGGTTGACAATAGGTTGTCAAGGGTTTATTTAGTTCCTTTTAAAGGAAGTGAATTACTTTGGTCTGTGTAGGATCATGAACTAGGTTGCTGATTTTATTAACAGTGACCATTTAAAAGATTCAGGGTTAAAGATTATGTTTTCTCCAAAATCTCTGTCTTTGACATTTCTGTCAGGGAAATCTGTCCAGTAGGCGCAGGTGGAAAGTACGAAGCCGTGCTAAGACCTCCTCCACAGTGGCAGGAGGAGCCAAAACACACAACCTGAAAAGAAGGGGGAGGGAGGAGAAACAACAAAATCATTAACCTCTACTGTACAGACTGGTGGTGAATGAAAGTAAACACAAAGAGTCTCATTGAGGTGCTGGGCCGCCATGTGCCACCAGAACAGCTTCAGTGCACCTTGACTCTCCAAGTCTCTGAACTCTGCTGGGGGGATGAACGCCATTCTTCCAAAAGATGTTCCCTTGATGATGGTGGTGTGAATTTTAGGTGTCCTAGTTTCTAAAGTGGCCCCATTTTTTTTGACATAGTCATCATTTGCCCAAAATTTCTTCTCTTGCCAAACATTTCCTAACTCTCCAAAATGGCTTCTCATAACAGACACGTCCACACAGAGTTCACTGTAGAATCTCTTTGCCTTACCTGACATGGTAGCGTTGATCGTCCTGTCCGTTCTCAGAGCCCGCTCCCAAACAAACACCTTCTTCTTCCAGTAATTTCTGGCAGTAAAGAACGTCCGCCTCCATTCCCAGCATCTGAAATTAATGAGAACAGAGATGTGTATCAGCAATGAGAGCCTCAGTATAAAAGTTCAATATATGCACTTATTCTTTCCATCTTATTCTGAGTCAGCATTCAAATTGTTGCTTAAACCTTTTGTAAAACACCAACCATACTGTACAACATAAGCACATTATGGAGTAAACTCTCCCACCTTGGCCTGCTCTATAAGCTCAGATGGTAAATGCAGACGGGGATAAAGGTAGATTCCCCCCATCGCTGGCTGACAGCTCATCCACGGTAGATCATTTAGAAACTGCCAAGCCCGTCGAGCATTCTGGGACAATGTGGCCTGAATGAGGAGAATCTCCTTCGATGGAAAGAACAACAGAGATTCAGCAAAGGACATCAGCTGCTCTTGTAGGACCAGAAATCCAAATGAGTTTTAATACAGGATGTTTCTGTGAGCTGAACGAGGCTCTGCAGACCTGTGTGTATTTGTCATATGAAGGCTCTCCGGGTGTCGGTGGGTTGATCATGAGCTCCAGAGCCAGCTGTCCTGTGACTGGAGCATGAGCACTCCGCATATTATACACAGTATGTTTCACCTCTGGGTCCATGTTGACCATCTCCATGTATCCTGCCCTCAGACCACACCTAGCACACAGATCAAGATGTTACTTGGAGATTGATTGTGTCAGAGGAAAACCGACTGTTTGGACCAATTCTCCCACGGACTTCTTCACAAAACGGGCTGATGAAAAACAACCGTGTGAGTGAGCTGGCCATCCAGTGGTCACTTATCAGTGTGGAGTATCACTTGGCAATGGACCGTGAGTTTGGCCTGACTTGTATAATGTTTGGTAATGAGTCACCTGCTTTAAATACTGTTTATTTATTACAGAGCCACATCACTGATCCAGTGGTGCAGTGGCTCCAGTTTCTGACTGCTGTGGGGGAAGTTTGGTGTTCATAGTGCTGATGAGTGTCAGGTTCTTCACTCTGGTGCTCAGTAGTTTTGGTTTGTTTGGCTCCTGCAGGAGGACATTGCAGAATTGTGCCTTTTTCATGTTGTTCAATGTGTTGCAACATTTTAATTAGTTACTTAGTTACTGGTTGTGTTGCAACATTTTAATTAGTTACTTAGTTACTGGTTAATTAGTTAGTGCATTCATTACATTTTACATTAGTTCATTTATGTTTACCTTCATTTTGTAATATTTACTGTTTAGTGTTTTATTGCATGTAACTGAACTCTACAATAAACCTGAATGCATTGTGTATTTTTTAGTTAGATGATTTTCATCATATTATTTCATGTGTTTTTAATCGTTGTGTACTACAGGCCTTATATTCTCTTTTTTAATGGCAAAACTAGAATTACTGCTTTATGGTTGTAGGTCTCCACTAACCAGTCAAATTCACAGCAACAGGACACACGTGAGGTCACTGGTCTTGACCTTTGACTGTGAAAATCTAATGATTTCATCCTTGAGTCCATCCACTTCTGTCAAGTTTTTCCTGACATGTTCACAAGAATGAGCCGGACGGACAAACAACCGACAACATAATGCTATAGGCAAAAAAACCAAATTGAACATTTTGACGTTTGATGTTTGTTCCTTTGTAACTTTATTCAGTATCTCTTATACTCAGTCTGACGTGCCGAGTGTAAAATGTAAAGATTTATCTTTCCAAAGAGACCAAGATTAGGGCTGTAATCAAGACGGTTGAAGAGCAACGATCTTTTTAAATTGGGCATGTCATTTTCAGGTTTATGCACAAAAATGAGGATGTAAATAGAAAACAGTTGCTAATAAGTATTATATTATATTATATTAATAAGTATTTACAGTAGTGTTTTAAGAGACTTTTCAGGTCATTTGGTAAAAGCTACCTGCTGTCTCATTAGGCCAGAAACAAAATGCTATCAAGATGAAAGAAACTGTATTACAAGAGCATAAAATGCTGTTGACAGCTCACTCTCCCATGCAGGTACTGGATAAAGAGTGGAAGGAGATCAGCTCCACTGTCTCTGAGTACTCGCTGTTCATCTCAGACAGGACCTTCTTATAGGAAATAAACTCTTTGTCCGGTCCATACACACTGTCCTGGTAGACCTGCAGTGCAGAGGAAAGGAGCAGATAGATTAGTGTGAGCAAAAGGCTTCCAGATGTTGAATTAAATATGAACATACAGTTTGCGATCACCTCATCAACCAACAGTAAGAGTCTCTCAGCTGCTGCAAACTGAATCACTTCTTCTATTGATTTCCTGTCCTGCACATGACCTAGGAGGACAAACAGCAGCATTCCAAACTGACCACAGCAGAGAGGTTGAAACATGTAGGTTTCTTGCAGCTGCTGTGTTGTTTACCTGTGGGGTTTCCTGGGTTGCTGATGTACATGGCTCTGGGTTCATAGCGCCCCCTGGCGGCCTTTAAAGCTCGGTGCAGCTCATCCAGGTCTACAGCCCAGCCTTGCTCCTCTATCAAATGGTATGGCACCAGTTTCACCCCGGCTTCCTCTACCAACATGGGCAGGGTGTGAGGACAGGGCATGGGGGTCAACACAGCTGACTGAGTCTCCTCCTCCCCTCTGGCCAACAGTATCACAATGATCTTAACATAACAGAATGATTAACAGATCTCAGTTATATTTGTTCCCAAACAGTGGTGAAATGTTACTAATGTTCTGTACCTGAGTACAAATCTGAGGTACTTGTACTTTGCTTGAGTAGTTACATTTTATTCAACATTATACTGTAGGAGAGGCAAATATTTTATGTTCTACTCCACTATATTTGCCTGACAGCTTCAGTTAGTGGTCACTTCTCCTTTTTTAACTTTTGAATATCCTTCCTGTGGTAAAAACTAGTGATAGACTGACTGCTCAGCTGGCCAATTAATCAGGCTGATGTTTGGCATTTGTACAGTAGATAATCTGCATCGGCCGATGTCTGCGCTCACAAGGGCGACTAACAAAGATGACTGCAGACTCACCTGCAGGCATCCTTGTCAGATTTTAGTTTATTTGATTACTTGGGGATTTTTTTTCTATTTAAAATAATAAGGGCGGTGCAGAGTGTAGCAAACAAATTTTTTCTTCAAATACTTAAAATAATTCAAATATTTTCATAGACCATTAGTATTAAATGTTCATTTAAGTTAAATTTGTTTTGTAGTGGTTGAGATCTGATGTGAACTAAATTAATTCAGGCAAAGCCTTCCAATGATTATTTTTTATTACAGTAATTCTAAGCAGTTCAATAATTTGCAAGATAATTCAACAGTCTGAAAGATAGGGAACATAATCACCATCTCTGCAGAGAAATAAACAAAAGTATTAGATAAAAGAATTGTCAAAGAGTCAGTCAGTCATTTTTGGTCATACTGTCCAGTCAGTCCAGAGTCCAGAGTCAGGTCGGTTCCCTCCCTACCTGGCTGGGTCTGAATTCATTCCACTACTGCAGCATCATCATCCTCATCCTCCTACTCATACTGCACCACTCAGTCTATCTCTTTTTATTCACAACTCATTTCAGCTCTTAAGTCAATTCCAGAACTTGGCTTCCTGTCTTCACTTTTAAGAGGAAACACCCTGAGATGTACAGGAAATGGGAAACAGATGGGTCGCCTCACTAAAGTTCTCGTTTCTACACACAGACCATTCTCAGAACAAAAAAGGTCAAAGCCTGCCAAATTATATAAGCATTGTCACCCCAAGGCCTGTACTCTCTGGCATATTACATTTTAGGTTGCATCTTGTTTGTTTTTAACCACTACAGTTTCATTTGTTATAATAAATTGTTGTACAGTGGTGTGAAAAAGTGTTTGCCCCCTTACTGATTTCTTATCTTTTTGCATGTTTGTCACACTGTAATGTTTCAGATCGTCAAACAAATTTATATATTAGTCAAAGATAACACAAGTAAACACATCATGCAGTTTTTAAATGAAGGTTTTTATTATTAAGGGAAAACAAAATCCAAAACTACAAAAGGTCAAAGCCTGCCAAATTATATAAGCATTGTCACCCCAAGGCCTGTACTCTCTGGCATATTACATTTTAGGTTGCATCTTGTTTGTTTTTAACCACTACAGTTTCATTTGTTATAATAAATTGTTGTATTTTATCTGATGCAAAAAGAAAAAAAAGATCAACATGATACAAGCTTCATATATCAGCCATCGGCCTCCAGCTCTCTAAAAATCAACATCAGTCACTGAAAAACGCATATTTTTCAACCGCTAGAAAAACCATGCTTTTTCAAATTTGGTGAGTTTGAATTTTTCTAATAAACTGAAAACTAAAGTGTTCCTTCATTCTCCAACATCTCAACCAACTGAAAATAAACTGGTTTTAAATAACTTTGGAAGATGCAAAATCACAAAGCTGAGAACGCTCCATATTGACTTCTGCAGTTTTGCACCAAACTTGATGTTTCTCCGGATCTCAGGACTTACAGTAACTTGGTGTTCCCATAACTGATAGAAATGATGGCCAAAACAAAGAGATTATGGTCAAAACACTCCTTTTAGATTCAGGTGTCTGTACATATTGCTGTCTGGACAATAGATAATGATGCTACAGTGTGTTTTACCCTCAAGGCCACTTGAGAACCAGGAGAAATAAAGATGTGTTCAGTGTTTGAAGACACACCGGCGTCTCGTCTCGAGATGAACTCAACAATGCTTTGTTTGACGTGAGGCACACCAGATGATTGACCATAGGACCCTATGGATCAGTCATTAGATATATTATTGCCATGCATCTGTTAATTAAAATGCCAGTGTGTCATATTTTAAATGTTTGACAGACTGTATAGAAAAAACCAATCCTCACCCACACTTCCTCCATCACAGGCCTCCAGGAGTCTCTGAGCCCTCAACCTGACATCCAGAGAGAGTCCTTCATTGTTCAGCAGCTCAGGGTACACACACACAGCCAAGACCTGGGTCAGAAGGTCAGATTTAGGACAATCTCCAACAGGACTCAAGCCACTCTAAAACATTTATTTGAGTTCTGACGTCATTCTCAGAATTCCGACATTTTCAAAAGTCACCTTTCAAGCCATAAATCTGACTTTAAGATCAGAATTTTAAGTTTGTGATAAAAACTAAGAACTCAAATGCATTTTTACAGTGGCCCTAACCTTCTTCCATAAATACTGTCTAAAGTTACAACAAAATAAAATATTCTAGCAACTCTGAAAACTAGTTTAGCTTGTTTCCAAATCACTGAGAACAGTTTTAAATGTTTGGATAAAAATAGTTTTCTCAAGTTTTATACCCAGTGAAACAGTGAACTGTATACTGTAAAAACTCAGACTACTGAACCTACCTGTCGAAGAAATGACATGGGTTTCAATCCGGATTTGTGGGGGTCACCTGAGCTGACATCAATCACCTGCTTAAAAGGTTTTGGCACCCCCTACAGGACAACACATGTTAATGCAAGACAAGATCTGCTTCAGTCTGGGTCACAAGTAAATTATTATTTTTTATTTTCTTTTGTGAAAAAGTGGGTGTAATATGTAACGAGTAACTATGACCTGAGGTTATCTGTTAAATGTAGAGAAGCAAAACAATACTTTTCTCTGAGCTGTAGAGGAAAATGGAACTACTTGTGTTAAGTACAAATTCCTGCCTGGATTTTGACAGCTTTACTGTCTTTGCATCTAGGACCCACAATGCAAAAAATTCTTAGAATTTCTTGTGTCAGAGATTTCCAAAATCACCCAATCAAATCACACCTCTTTCACCAGTATGTAAGTGTTAAGCTAAAAGAAGATTAGTGGAACTTACCTGTGTGACCTCCTGTGAGATGCGTACTGCCAGACTTTGCAGCACACTTTGTGGTGAAACTCTGATCCCTCTCACTGTGGGATTCACATGTTGCAGTGAGCTCATGTTTTTTTTTTTTTAGTTGAAATGGCTTGATTTCCTAATTACTTACTATGATCTGAGGAGCTTGGTGAGGCAGACACTGCAGTGGTGTCAACGTTTCAGAGGGTTGGAAATGAACCTTCTGTAAAACTGTTTCTTCTCATATGCACAAAATAGAAGTGAATGGATAACTAGTCTGTCCCTGAAAAAGGTGCCACTGGGCTTCTCTGTTTAATAAGTAATCCTTTATGTTCATCATGACCATTCATTTCAACAAAAGAAAAAAAATCTCTGAGGTGGACTTTGTACATAAAATCCTTGCTGATATTCTCACTTGTCCATACACTGAAGTCTTTTGTTCTGTTCACTTCAATTTGTTTGTATAGTGCCAAATCACAAAAATCATCTCAAGGCACTTACATAGTAAGGTCTAGACCCTACAGTATGGTGATGAGAGGAGAGGAGCTCAGAGGAGCTCAAAGCATTATGGGCCCCCCAGCAGTCTAGGCCTATAGCAGCATAACTAAGGGAAGGCTAAGGATCACCTGATCCAGCCCTAACTATAAGCTTTATGAAAAAGCAAAGTCTTAAGTCTAATCTTAAATTCCAGCCTGGAAGTAACAGATGCATGGACCAGTTTTTCAGCATCACTTTGAGACAGGATGTTGCTGATTTTGGTGATGCTAAGAGAAGGCAGTTCTAGATGCTTAGTTTATGTATGAGTTAAAGGACATATTCTGGTCAAAAATGACTCCAAGGTTCCTCACAGTGCCACTGGAGGCTAGGGCTATGTCATCTAGACTAACTAGGTATATGGTTGAATGTAGAGGATGTACTTCCTGCACAAGCTGAGGAAGTTTGACCTGCTTCAGGAGCTGCTGATACAGTTCTACAGAGGAATCATTGAGTCTGTTCTCTGCACTTCCATCACTGTCTGATTTGGCTCAGCAGCCAAACAGGACAAGTACAGACTTCAGTGGACAGTGAGGACTGCAGAAAAGGTCATCGGTGCAATAGATTCATACAGGTCTCTAGTTTTAAGTACTCTGTTTTTATTCCTATTTATCCCATTTCACAATGAGCATTCCTTGTCTGTCTGCATTGTTTACTGTCTGTCTATACTGTTTATTTTGCATTGTTTGCACTGTTTGTTGCTTATTAATACTGGTTATTTTGTTATACTACACAGCCTTATGTTGGTATATTGTTTATTTGCCCCTTGCATGGGGATATGTACATGCACATCGAGAGCCGATGTACCAGAGTCAAACTCCTCGTGTGTCAGACACACCTGGCCAATAAAGCTGATTCTGAATCTGATTCTGAAAAGCATATTTCTGAAGTTTTTAGGCCAAAGTACGATGACTTCAGATTATTAAAACAAGCACATGGATTACGAAACCAGAGCCTATTTCATGCTCATAAGTCCATAAACCATTGACTTTATATGTAAGCCATAAGCTCCCGAATCAGGATTTAGCAGGAAGCACAGTAGTAGAGCATGTACCACGAATGCATTATTATTGGGTTTTCCTTAATACAGTCATGTCAGGTACTACAATCACACTGAGGAAAACCTGCCCAGATCAGCGCTTGTTATAACTTGTTATATACGCTTGAAAGTCAGTAAGTAGACCAATTAACACACAAAATTACACATACAGTATTGTTTTAGATGCTTATTCTGACCAGGAACAGCCAAAACCCAAAGTATATTCACATATCTCAGTCCAAGATCAAAATAAAACAGTTTTAGATCCATATGACACAGGTTCCCCATCAGGTTTAGTAAACTGTGTGCATGGAATCTCACCTAAATATATATATATATTTTTCCTGCCACATGAACTGCTGGGGACTCTGTGGTCTTCATCAAATTTTTTAGATAAATATTGTAGTTTACTCCACTACGTTTATTATATAACTTCTACTAGTTGCTTTTCAGTATGTAGTGGTTAAAACTAACAAGTTAATATGGACTATAGAGTACAATAGGAGTGTGTAGATTACATACAGATATTACATGTGTAGTGGTTAACAGATCACAGTGTGAGCTAAAATACTTATATAAACTTCTGCAAGCTTTGCTTTGTACTTTGTCAGCTCTCTGTAAAGTGTTTAAATGTTTGTGTGCTGAAGCGAGAACATCTTTAGTTCATGTCCTGTTTGTTTAACTTTCTGGGTCATCTTGGACATGACTTGCTGAATAAACATTTTAGAGAACAGTTACCAGAAAAGGGGATGTAGGCTGACGGGAAGTGAGAATTTGGCATAAACAACAGGATGAATACTTAGAGTAGATAAGGGCTCTTGTGAGGCTGTATCAGCGTCAAGCAAGAAAGAATGCAAGCAGAGACAAAGGCAGACAGAAGAGAACAGAACTGGCTTGGTTTCAGGCTGTTTTCATGCAGGAACAATTCTCTGTATCCAGCCTATTGATATTATTGTACTGATAAATGATCATTGGAATTGTAGTGATATACTGACCGATGTAGTGACCGACAGACTGTTACTGCAAGTGCCAGTTTAATAAAGAATACTCCATATCACATTAGAATCGTAATTCATATCTACTAGGTTTTTTTCATTCATTCATTTTCTACCGCTTAGTCCCTGAACGGGGTCACCGGAGCCAATCCCGGCCGGCAATCGGGCGAAGGCGGAGTACACCCTGGACAGGTCGCCAATCCATCGCAGGGCTAACACATAGACGAACAAGCACACACGCACACATGCACTCCTATAGGCAATTTAGAGACACCAATCAACCTAAGTTGCATGTCTTTGGACTGTGGGAGGAAGCCGGAGTACCCGGAAAAAAACCCACGCAAGCACTGGGAGAACATACAAAATCAACACAGAAAGGTCCCCGAACCCTTCTCGCTGGGAGGTAACGGTGCTAACCAGTGTGCCACCGTGCTGCCTACGTTTTTTTTTTTCACAAATGCTAAAAAACGTTCTTTCAAATTTTTCTTTAAAAACATTGACGGAGAGAAAAAGACGGAACTCAACCCCTAAGCCAGTGTAGCACCCGGACAACAGACAGCGCTCAGAAATAAGTTTGTGCAAGTGTTAATGTTTTGATAACGAGCTTTGAAAGTGAAGTGTGGAGGAGCGTGTGAACACTTCGTAGCCCATCACCAACAAACTGACGTTAACGGAGCAGCGAACGTAGGAACAAACGAGCAGCAGCTCATCAACACACACTGCAGCACGTCGGTCAAACTGGTGAGACAAAGAAAGGAGCTCGTTTCTACAGACTTGGTTCTGTTTTGGATCACGTTGGCTTTCTCTGCTAGTAACAGACGCTGTTCTCCGATCGTTTACTGAAGTAAATTGGGAGTGCCACGGTGTAAAATACTCTTAAGTAAAAGTCCTGTATTCAAACTATTACTTAAGTAAAAGCTCAAATGTATTTGCATTCAAATAGAACCTAATATACCAAAAGTAAAAGTACTCATTATGCAGGTTGGCTCATTTGAATGTTTGGATTACAATTATTGATGCATTATTGTGTTCATCATATTTAATGCTGCAGCTAGTCAAGGTGGAGCTAATTTTAATAGCCTTATATACTTAAAATTTCAAGTACTTTACATACTGCTGGGTAGCAGTATGTAAACTACTTGGTTTTGATGTTCATCAGAACCAGTTAGCTTAACTGCATGTCTTTATTAGCGGCTAATTGGGAAAGGACAGAAATCAGTTGTTTGTCAGACATTAAACTAGAGTAAGAGCCAACATATAGTGTCCTTCGTTTTTCGGAGTTGTTTTTGAATAGGAAATGAGTGTGAGTCAAATCGTGAATCCAAGAATCTGAATAAGATCGAGTTGTGAATTTGCCAAAGATTCCCACCCCTAAGAAACACTTCTATGAGCTGTTACCTGTTCAAAATACTGTATGTTTACTCATTGTTTTAAGGCGATGATTGATTTTACTATTATATGTATATTGGTTAACTCTGCCAGGAGATTGTTATCGCCAACGTTTGTTTTTGTCCATATTTTATCTGTATATCTTAAAAAAAGGTTTGGACAGGTAGATAATGTTGAAGAAACAAGTGATTACGTATTAAAAGCAGTTCAGATAAAGAAGAAACTCTGACTCAATCCTTGGCAGAGATTTATTTAAAAGTAATATAAGGCAAAGGTGCTCTCTGTGCAGTGGGGAGTGAAACGTGTCATATGTCTTGATGCTGGAAAGCACCAGCTGAGTTATCATTTCTGTAGACAGTCAAAGTTAGGGCACACGGCCTCCCTTAGTGATTTACTGAGCTACATGTAAAAACATGCCATTCTTTTGGACCACCCCTCCAAATTGCTATTTTTTTGTAACGCTATTAAGTTCAACATCTTACTTCATAACTTAGCAGCCAGGTTAATGCAACTCTGTGGCATTACTCCTAATGTTCTGAACTGTTTGACATCCTCGTGATCTGCCATTACTCTTCTGGAGTGGAGATGTTGTCCCTCTCCTTCTTATTCCTCTCTGGTGCCATCTTTGATCAAATGTTCCCACTCTGTAACCATGGTGACAGGTGTCCTTATATAGTTTGCTTTTTATTACTCCAGGTGAACGTTTGTGTGTTAACAAGCACTGCAAAATGGCACTACAGAAGAAGGGGAGGGGGTTGAAACAGAAGCTAAAGAGGCAGAAGGAGGAGGAGATCCACAGAGAGAGAGGAGGGGAGGAACTGAAAGATGGGACAGACAGAGGAGCGCAGCTCTCTGAGGTCAGTTCCCAAGACTTTCACAACGTAGATCCCATCAATTACATAAAGGGGCCAGGGCATGCTTATTTCCAGCCATGTTATGTTTAATCTTGGGTACTTATAAATCAGCTTTGCACCCCTCATAACTGCAAATATTCTGTAATTATTTCAGAACCATAAAACCAGAGAGCCTCCACCTAAAAATGAGAGGATAGTTCGTGAACGTGCACACCTCCTGCTGCCAGTGTTGAAAGTGAACAGCACAATAAACTATGGCCACGTTCACACTGCAGGCTGAAGTGACTCAAATCCGATCTTTTTGCCCATTTCCTTATGACAGTGTG